AGCACATTCGGGAGGTGTGGGCTGCAAAGAGGAAGGGGGCGGACCCCCCCCCCCCGCTGTGCTCCCTGCCCATTGCCCGACATACAGTGGACAGGAAGGGGAACAATTCTGTGGTTCTTGACCTCGTTACCCATTTTGAGACCATAAAAAGGAGAGAGGAGAGAGGAAGGTGGGGAAATTGGTCAAGAGATTATCCCTGGTTAGGGGGAAAATGAAGACAACTGTAACTGAACAACAACAAAAATTAAAAAAAAGACATTATCTGTGGAGAGAGTACTGCCATGCCGAACCCACCGCTCCACCCAAAGGGATGGGGAAGGGCTCCCTCCGGGCCCCCAGCCAGTGCGGGAACCCTGCGGGGATCCTCAACTATGTTTCCTGGAGGTGGAACTCAGGGAGAGCTGACTCCAGCCTCAGAAAAGCTAAAGCCCACAGACTGCAGACTCAGGTCTCCTTCTGGCCTGGCGTCTGGGGTGAGGAGCAGGGTGGGGGTGAGGGGGCAGGGGCCAGAGAATGGCTGCCCTATTGGAGAGGGCTGTCAGGGCAGGCGACGGGTGAGTGACCGGAGCTGGCCTTGTGGGACAGGCGCAGGACTGGGCTCCACCTGGGCCCTAGCCAAAGGCCCTCCTGGAAGGTGAGGCCCTTCAGTGGACCGAGGTTGCAGACAGACTGCTGGACACCCAGGGGCTACGAGTGGCCTGGTGGGTAAGCAATAGAGACCTGCCTGTCCTGAGTCACGGGAATTGCTACAGGGGACAGGACCCTGCAGACAAAAAGTCCTTCAGTCTGTGTTTGGGACCTAAAGGGACTCTTGGAGCTGTTAGCCACCTAACAGTGAGCAGAAAATTCTTGCTGGAATTTTCATTGGGGGCTGGTGAATATTACGGCCACTCAGCACAGGCACAGCAGTGCAGCAAACAGAGAGAGGTGTGTGAATACATCACAAATGGTATTTGCTCAATATATGGGATGCATTTTGCACTCCTCAGGGATCAGCGATGATAGGAAGTTAGCGAAGGAAGATTCTCAGAGGAATCCCATACACATTTCATTTCAACTGGCTGAGTTTTAGCAATAATTCATGTGCACTGATTCCTCCTGTAAATCTTGAAGATCAGGCCTTCTTCTGGCCAAACCCATTATGCCAGGGGCTCCTCACAGTGTCCCACTGCAGATTTGAGACATCCTGATTCTGTCCCATCCTCAGGTCTCCTCCCAGCCCCTCCCCGCTCCATCCCTTCCCTTTGTGTCTCCTTAGCATCTTCCTCTAGCTCCTCTCTGAAATCTCCAACACCCAGGGCTGTTTGGTTAGCTGTGTGTTCCTTTGGTCCTAAGGACTTTCCCCCTGATGAAGCAAATCCAACACCTGCAGCCCAGAGCTGGGAAATCAGAGAGCGGAGTGAGTTTTTGGTGCCATCGGGCAGGCAGATAAGGACAGGTGAGTGACATCTGGACATCTGTACCAACGCCGCCGCGCACCATGTGGTTTGGGACTGCCGTGTGAGGTTACAGAAGGTGGACTGTCAGAACCGTTACAGACAGGCATAAAGAATGTCTTTCTCTCAAACGTCAGACTCACTACAAGTTTGGGTTTCCTTTGCTGCGGGCATGCCTTTCCGGGGAGCAGAAGATGATCCTGATTTAATGCCAAGTTCTCCCATTGTCACTCCAAAGACAGACTGTTCCACGCTCTGCCCCTCCTCCTACCCCGCCCCCACCCTGAGTGCTGAGATGGCTTTTACATGCACTTGACCAACACACACCAACGGGCTCTGCCAGGAAAGAAAGAACAGAGGTCGGGATGAATGAGAACTCAAGTAGGAACTACGCGCATTTTTGATCTTTCAGAGGTTTAGAGAAATGGAGGAAAAGGATACACACCAACGAAATGCGAAGGGAGTGAATGACTGTGTTCATTTTCTCCCCTAGTTCACCTTGGGGCACAGAGGACTGAAGTTCGGGGGTCTGGGGCCAATGACCCCTCCGAATTCCAGCTCTGCCTGCCCCTAGCTTGTGGCCTTGGACCATACATGGAGGCCCCCAGCCTGTGCCTCCGTTTCTGCATCAGTAAAATGAGGATAAAAACAATATTTACCAAAGAGTTCTTGTGCAGTAAATAGCTTTAAAGGGTGCCTGGTGCATATAGTTCATGTTGTGTATTTGTTAGCTACTGTAATGTCCTAATTTTCTAGTCATTTCTTCCATCTGTAGAAGTGTGAGGTGGGAAAAGATAATGTGAAGAGAAATCAGGTCCAACTTCCAATGAGTTATTTATTTGTGATTTGTAGCAATACTGTGTCCCGACTACACCTATTTCTTCAGGCACCTTTGTTTTGGATGGCGTTAGAGGGCTGGTTACAGTAACATTGATGAAAAGTTGAGTTTTTTCACCCATTTATTCATGAGCCTGTGATCGTTCATTTATTGATCATTTATTTGAGTTAGGATGTAAGGCAATTCGCAAACCTGTAGAGAGCAGAGAATTTCCCCCTGAAGGGATCTATAGTCATTTGGTTAATGGTCTAAACCACTGACATGTAATCAGAATGATTATGTTTGGACGAGGCTATTAAATCCCCATAAATAAAACAAATCACCAATAAATGGTCTAGGAAAAAATACGTTGTGGAAAAATTCGGTGGCTGTAAGACTGGTGTCTCCGGCGGTATGTGTATACACGCCGTCTGTCTTCTGAGCACGGACGTGATCGCACCCCTGTTGACTCTGGGCCCCACCGGCTCCTTCCTCTGAAATTACCTGGCGTTGGCCCTTCTGTCGTGAACAGGGGCTTCTTGCTTCAAGTTTACGAGACTGACACGCTGCCTATTGAGGGGGTGTCTATCGCATCAAGTTTAGATGGAACTCTTTCTCCTCAGGTCATTTCGTCAACATCTGTTGGATGCCTGCTGTGAGCTAAACGCTGGCAGCCCACCTTAGGCAAACTCAGCGTATGGATTATATAAATCATATGGATACCGACTGTACTTTTCCATGTCATCTCTGGGTGACTTTTAACCCACACGCTGTGCCTTTTTGTTTGCTGTCTGGGCTCTATGGAGATGTACGAAGTATGCCGTTACTTTTCAAAATAAGAAATCTAATGGAAGACCCGTTTTCTCCTGAATATTAAAAAATCAGTGTATTGTAAGGAAAATAATGCATTTTTGACTTGGTTCTTCTCATGGGCTCAAAAAAGACTCAAGTCTTCAGGGGTTGTGAACTGCTAGCAAACTTTATCAGGCCTTCCAACGTCCCCCACAAAGGCCACTGGTGACGACACAGCTGGTGGCAGTGGAAGACGCCCAACGACTAGAAATGTTATGGGACAATCTTGTTCTCTGAAAAGAGAACTTAGTCCTGGATTTGAACCAGACACTTACTCTTCTGGACCACAATGTTCCCCTGGTAAGAATGAGAAGTTACCATGGTGAAGATTAAATGACCTCCAGGTTCTCCCACCCCTAAATGACTAGGATTCTGAGCCTGTGACCTCCCACACGGAGCCACGTGGCTAGTGCAACCGGGATGTGCCGTGTGAGCTACTCGCCACATTCTGAGTTAGTACAAAAAATGTAAAATATTTTGTATATATTAAGTTAAAATATTATTAGAATGAGCTTCACTCATTTTTTTAGTGTGAACACAGAAAATTTAAAACTGCTTTTCTGGTTCACACTATTAACATTGGATGGCCACGCTCTGATCCTTCAAAATGAAGGGATCTAAACCTATCTTTAAGGACTTTGAATGCTAAATGGTCAGCATTTCAACGCTGTGGTCCTTATGCCTCTAAAAGTCAAGGTGAAATACCTACCCAACCCAAACTAACAAACCTTCAGGGGCAGATATCTGTCACCAAGTTGCTGTTTGCCCAGGTCCCTTGAGAGCCCTGTGGTCACAACACTCCATAGTCAGCCCCTTCGGCATTCGTATTGTGACCGACTCTCAGGTTGTAACACACACAAAGGTTGACAGCGATCATTTCTGGGAAATGGGTACTAAGTGCTTTTCGAATTTTTCAAATCCTTTCTTTCACCTCTCGATCTTTTAACAATGAGGACCATTATGTTCCCTCAATTAGAAAAATGATCTCTTTACATTTCTGCATCAATGATTTTATAAATTGTCTAAGCATCACAAATATATTTTTAAAAGGCCAGCTTAAAAGGAAATACCCCAAAATGCTTTCGTCTGCTTTTCTGTAGTGAACCAGTTATTTCTATCAAGGAACAGAAGACACCTTCTTATTTAAAAATTGCAATATCCACCCACCCTTTTAACCTGCAACCTACATTAATTTGCAGGCTGACTTTCTTAGAACCCCTGACACTGTTATCTCCACTGTACTAGACTGAGGAGTAAATGCTTCAGGCTTTTGCTTCAATCTTACACCGATAACAGGTACTTCAATATTTTTGTAACTAACATCGAGCAGAGCGGTGCTGAGTTAGAGCCCGTGCAGGAGATGGGGAGGGAGCCCCAAAAGTATTTCTCTACGCCACATGTGCCAGGTGAGGTCGTACTGGGAAAATGCCCATTGGAAGGGGGGCCATTTACATCTGGGTCCTGCAGCCACAGGGTGGCGCCCCTCCTGCAGGCAGCCCGAACCAGCACACTCAGGCGTGCAGGCACACACGTGTGCGCGCACACACACGGGGGGTGGGCTGTGCCCCACCCCAGCCCCAGTGAGCACCCCCTGCAGCCGCTTCTCTTAACTGCCCTCCATTCTCCAGGCCAGACTGCCGCCCTACCTGCTCCAGGTAGCACAAGGTGTGTGCAGAGCTGGTGTTCATGTGCAGATAGGGAGGGCAGAGGCAGGTGTGCTGTCTGCCCCGCTGGCTCTGTAAAGAGCTGGGCTTCTAAAGGCCTAACAGGTGTAATTGTTTAACATGGCAGGGTTTTTTTTTTTTTTTTAATTCTTGAGGAAATGGGTCTTTTTCCAACTCCCACAAGGCAACAAACAGCTCCTTTGAACGCGGCACCATTGAGCAGAGACTTACTGTTGGTAGAAAAGATGACTTCCCCCTCCTGCGGGGCGGGGTCTGGATCCTGGACCACCTGCAGGGCTCCCACAGTGCGGACGGCAGGGTCCAAAGTGACTGAACTTTCGTTCACGGTGGTGTCACTTGCGCCTGTGATCTGGTTGGTTGGGGGGCCTCCCAGCGATCCCTCGAAGTCGGTGGGCAAGTCGTCCATGCAGTCGGCATTGGGCTGACGGGGCAGAAAAGGGTCTGCTCTCAGTGTGTATCATGAGGTTAGAGGCGCAGTGTTTAAAGCCTAAAGACTGTCTTGATGGAAGCCCACGTTCTCTACTGCTTTCTTCCTGACACAGTTTATTAAAAACATTCCCCATAAAGCTCTGCAATGAACATAAAAATGGCTTCCAAAATTCCCTTTCCGAAGGTTCCATTTAGAGGTAGATAGGAGGTTTTAAATCTAGGAGTAGCAACATCTATACATTCATGTAATTACTGGGAGTAATAACATGATACTCATTTATAATGACAGCCCTTCCTTATACAGAGGCTTTATTCCTCACCTGGGAAGTAAGTAGCTCGCAGCCTGATGATGACCCCCAGTGACCTCCAGTGAGCCCTGAATTATTTCAAATATACCGATGTCACGAGAGGGGGACAGATTCTGACTCACTGTCAGATACACACACACAAACACACAAGTAAAACACAGGGCGAGGCTACTGTTTTGATGTTGTTGTTAAATGTAAGCCAAAGACCAGCCATTAAAAAAAAAAGCCCTATTTTCTTAACAGGCCTATGATCAGATATTTGTCAAATCCTCTGCATGGAAATCTCAGAATCCTAACACTGAGGTGCGACCATTGTGTGTAACTGCCTCCGCCCCCCAGGATGCACTTGAACATAGACATGGGAGCTCTCTGCTCTGCAAGGCAGCCTGTGCTGCCAAGTTTCATTAGACGATTCCATTACTGGGCAACGTGGCAAGTGTTACTCTTTGGTCTTAGTTCTGCTGTTTGAAGTGATATTGAATATATTTAATCTTCTGCATAAGCAGCTTTTAAAAAGACTTTCTGTTGTTATATCTTTCCCTAAACTCATAAAAGAGATGGTATGGAGGGAAATCAGCTTGAAAAATGAATTATTATTATTATTATTATTATATTATTCTTGCTCTGGTCTGAACATCAGCATCGCCTGGAATGACAATGAAATGGTTTTGCACTCCCGATGGATAAAGACCAAAGTGGGCGGGAGGTGGGAATGCTCTGGGTTGACACTGATTACATTGCGTTAAAAGTTCACAGAAAGAGAAACTCCGCAGCTCCCAGACTCACTGGGAGCATGAAGCAAGATGTTCAAACCCCTGGACTCTTGTCTTTGTTTTCTGCTCATAAACCAGCCTCCTGAGCACCACCCCGGTGCTTCCAACAGTCAGCTGGAAATCACCACCCCCCACCAAAAACTCAAATTCAGCTCATTCCCTTTTTTTCTCCTATATTCTCTTTTCTTTGCCTGTTTGTCCCTACTAGAAGTGAGTCAATTCACTGAAACTCAGGTTGTCGAAAGTCAATTCACTGAATGACCGATCCACCCCATTCACTGACTATGACGTTGGCCGTGAGTGGGTCTGTAATGAACATTTCTCGCCCCTTCATGGGTCTCTTGATCTTCCTATCGTTTCCTCCCCAGTATATCCTGTTCCCCACTTTTCTGGCCCCACCTGCGGGCTGTGGGAACACACCCAACACCAAGTATTCCCCATCTCAGAGCTTTAGCTCATGCTGTTCTCCCACTCAGGGCAGCATTTGCCCAGGCATCCTGCTTCCTGTCCCCACTGTAAGGTCCCGCCCAAGCCCTCCTGGTGAGCTCCTGATCACCCCTCTCGTGACACCTTTTCCAGGGGTCGTCTCCTAGGTACTCACCCTCAGCACTGTAACACCTGACTCATACTTCCCCCATGCTATTATGCTCATTGGTTACTGCATGTGTCCCACTCTACTGGTCTGCATTTTAAAAAGAATGCTAGTTTTATTAAGGTATAATTAACATGTGATATTATATTAGCTTAAGATGTACAACATGATGATCTGATGCATGCATGTATTGCCAAATGATCACCACCATGAGTTTAGTCAACACCCATCACTTCGCACGGTTACATTTGGTTCCAGTGATGAGAACTTTTGCACGTGTACGAGACAGTGTTATTAACGAGTCACCACGATGCACATATTTCCAGAACATAGTTATCTTATAATTTGATGTTCGTACCTTTTGACACCTTCACATATTTTGCCTACCCCCAACCCCTGCCCCTGGCAACTGTCTGTTCTCTGTTTCTATGAGTTTAGTTTTTTAGATTCCACACAGATGTGAGACACAGCTTTCTAAAGTGACTCAACTGCACAATACATTACATGGCTCCTGAATTCCAAGACTCCACATAGTGCCTGACAATTATTAAGTGGTCAGTAAACACCGATCTGAACATTTGATCTGAGTCTCGGGTTACTGCTCTGAAGACTTGAGAACATAAGACTCTGGTCTAGATTAAGGGAGGATTTGAGAAAATACTTCGAAAACTGACAAATTCTGTGCCAAGGGAAGGCACACTGCTGGCGGGTAGCAGAATAAGCCATCGCAAAATTTGCTACATTGGCATAAGGATTATTTTGAGCTGCAACAGTTGAAAAGTAGATAAAGAAATGCTCTTTGCCCTCCCTACTATGTGCCTAAAAGCAGGACATAAATTTGCAAAGGTGGGCCCTCTCCGCCCCGGGAAGGAAAGAGCATTCTCACCATCAGAGATCGGGGAGCCACTCAGAAATCTGCACCAACAAACCTTACAAACACGACCTCTCTGACATCAGTTTCCTCCACGTATTGACCTCCGTGCTGGTCGGGAAACTCAAAGTCTTTTTCTTTTGTTTTATTGCTTCTCAAAAACTTTTTTGAAGATGCTACTTGACGAACTATTTAGAGTGGGCACAAATGGTGAGATGCAGTGAGGTCAGTGCATTAAATATTCTATCTAACACAAATCACTTATGTCAGCTAACAGTGTCATTGAGCTAATTCTTTCTCTTCCCTCCCCCTGTTCTGTTAGAGATGTAATGAGCATCTTGAAGATGCTCAAGTTCTAACCACCCCTTTGAGTTACTCATCACTAGTTGTTTCCATGTGTATGCATGATGCATGTGATAATAAACTTTGGTTTGATTTTCTCTTGTTAATCTTTTATAAGTCTAATTTATAGGGCTCTGGCTGGAGAAGCGAGGAGGAAAAACAACCCTTCCCCCTCCTTACACTATGTAAAGATGCTGCTAAGCCAAACCCATTGTGCGGGTCCCCAGGGAGGGAGAGGGTTCCCAGTGAGGACCCGGTGTGGCTGTCCTTTCAGCCACACACATCTGAATGCCATCGTATATGTGACAACTGGTGTGTACTTCAAATGCTGTTGGCTTGTTGATATTGTTCCTTCATTTAAAAACTTCTTAAATGAATTCTGATGCAGGACGTTCAACTTTGCTTTGTGGACTAGCAGGCCCAATATTTCATCTCTAACAGAGCAGGGGGAGGGAAGAGAAGGAGAATTAGCTCAGTGAGACTGCTGGCAGACATAAGTGATTTGCGTTAGATAGAATATTTAATGCACTGACCTCACTACATCTCACCATTTATACCCACTCTAAATAGTTCATCACGTAGCCTATTTAAAAGGAAACCCAATGTACAGCCCTCTAAGAGGAATTATGGTCATAATGTTTTTTAGTGAAAGATGTTAAATACCGTCTGTTTGTGGACAAGGCATAGCTATTCAAGTTCAGGTCAGCACGTGGAAATGCTTCAAGTACACCAACTGCCAAGTAGTTAGGGATCTGTGAATACGCCAGCTATGCAGGCTTTCCTATTCAGTCATCCGAGTCACACCTGGGTAACGGTGATGGCAGACGGTGTTTGCTGGGACAGAAAAACCCAGTTTATTTGGTACCTTACGGGCATATTCACCTGTGTTCTGCCACCTCACAAGGTCACAGCTAGACCTGAAGCAAAGGAGGGCGAAGCAGAATAATGTAGATAAAGGGATGAAAACACTTCCGATGATAAAGGACCCCCCTCCCCGCACTTTCAGGTCCGTATCTTATTTTTCCTGGCAAAATATAAGGAACATATAAGGAAAAAAGCTACCCACTGTAATGGGGACTTTGTGAGCCCTGAGCTGTGCTTTCATTCTCCTGCTCATTTTGGAGGAAACCCCCTTAACAAGCTGAAAATGTTTCCAGCTCTTAGATTTCAACTTAAATTTATCTGCCTCACAGCACAGGCAGCCACAGGGACATTCAGTTAAAAACAATGACAATAAAACAAACAAACCAAAGCCCTTGCCGCCCGTGTCTGGACTGTGTAGCAGATCAGGATGACAACCAAGTGGTCGGGGAGTGGGCCTCGTTCACAGGAGGATGGGGTAAGTTTCATAAGCACGGTTCTGTGACCAGCAGCTTTCAGCTGTGATGGGCTCCAGGGTCAAGGACATTCACTGAGCACTTGTCAGGCGTCAGAGACGAAGGACCAACAGGCACCGTGTATCAGAGAAAGTGACAGGCTCTTTTCAACGTTCCTTGATGATGAGGATCTGGAGTGTAGGAGCTCAGGAAGACTGTAAAACGATTCTCTAAGGTCCATGAGAACGGTTTTGGTTAGCTCCAGTGTGTGTTTTCTAGTTGAGAAGGCTGTTTAACGCTAGTGTGTTTTCTAGTTGAGAAGGCCATGAGCTTGTACAGTGACATGGAAAGTTCTATGCATGGGACAGAACTCCCATCTCGCACTCTGTCATGCGAGATGACGAAAAATGTCATCTCTTTGGCATAATTTAGGCCTGGCGCTACCCAAGGACAGAGGATGGAGTGGAAACGACATCCAAAATTCCTCCCAGCTCCAGCCTTCGGTGTCACCCCCCAGGACAAGACCTGAGAAGCCCCAGGCAGGCAATGGAGGGGGCCCTGCACCTCGGTCTGAAAACCGGCCTACTCATGTGCCTGCCTCAGGAGGGCGCTCTGCTCTCTGGGGTGGGCTTGGAGACCCGAACGTTCCTGTTCGGCTGGCCTTTGACAGCCTTTGGTGAAATCCAAAAGATGCTACTGACCTTTATTTTTCTGGAACTCAGGCGAGCTAAGTAAACTCCTATCCAGACGTGATGGGTTTAAACCCTGGTCAGAAGGCCATAGCTGGCCTAAAAGTGACAAGTCTATTGTTTTAGAAACAAGCCAAATGGCAACCCATTAATTCGGAATAATTAATAGCTGTATTCTCAACTCATTTACAGGTAGTTTCTGGAGAAGCTGTGCCTCCCCAGGAGAAGTCTGGAGTTCTAGGATATTTGGTACAAAATCTGGTTTCACCATCTCGACCAAGGAGCGTTGGAATCTACACTTCAGAGCTTTGAAAATACCTTGAGTGATAGGAAGTAGGTCCCATGATGTGCCTGTCTACCTCCAATTGTTATGTGTTCCAAAGACTGGGCACCAGAGGCACACGTATGCATGTGCAAGCACACGCACGCACTTCCCCCCTCCCTTGTAAAAGCCAGTTCCAGCCAGGAATGTGAAAAGTGCAAACATCCAGTCCCTTTTCTAAGTCACCAGCATCTGGTAGAGGTGTCGGGTTTTCTGGTATTTCATGTTCCCAGTGATTGATCTTCACCTCGAATGCATGATGCATTTACAACTCTGCTCTGAAAATTTAATGCAGTGCCTTTCAAAATCTAGCTGAAAGCTAAAGTCTCACAAGTCGATTTGTGCCTGGTGTACCAGCCATAAAAATCGGCATACGGCTGGCACAGAGGCAGCGGGTTCAGGGTAGAAAGTTCAGCCAACGCGTGACCTCATAATGCTTCAGGTGTGCCCTCCCCAGCACAGTCTCTCTGACAGTCCTCAAATGATTAGCCTTTAGCATTAAAGAAAACCTCTGATATCTGATCTGATCCTTCCTGCTTCAGTGACATCTCGGGACCATTAGCATTCTCTTTATTCTCTGCCATTAGTGCAGTGAGGGAGGCCACAGGGAGGGTGCCACGTAGTGGAGGGTGGGGGCGGGGGTGGGGGAGGCCGGTGTCTGCAGCCCGCCTGGCTGGCTCCTCTCGGTGCCTCAGTCTCTCAGCCGCTCTGACCGCTCTCCCTCCGACTGGGTGGCCTGCTGCCTCCTGCGCTCCCACGGCAGCCGGTGGGTGTCTGGGCCTGTGGGCTTCACTTGCCGGGGATCTGGGAGTGTCTTTCCTTGGAGTGCCAAGCTAGCCAGCTGCCTTGGTGGACCAACTCAGTTTTATAAAACATGGAACGGAGGCACCAGCTGGACGGTCACACTAGAATTAAGTGCCTCTGGCTCCCCACTCACTCAAAGGTCTCCCCAGAGACCCGGGGTCAGCGGAGGCTCTGAGCCAGGCCCTCAGCAGCTGTCCTCCCCTCCCGGGTTGGGAAGAGCTTGTCTCCGCTGGACGCGAGGGGACCGGGGCACAATCCGACATGTGGCCTGCAGAGCTCTGTGATGACAGTGCCGGGGTAATGATACAAGAGGGCACCTCGGCCCTGACTGGCCCCTTGGGCCTCTGCTGGTGTCCCGCCTGCCCCGCACGCTACATCTTGAAGGAGAAGCCTGTGGGCTCCACAGGCAGCTCCGGACTGACGGACAGACCCAGTGGGCGGGGGAGGAGGGCATGACGTACTCAGACCCTCAGACCGAGAGAAGAGGAGAGAAGTGTTTTCAGACCTGGGAGTGCTCTGGGGCCTCACTGGGTGACACCGTTGCTATGGGGTCGAGGGGCCAGAGCAAAGCCAGGAGCGAGGTTTTCTCCCTGCTTGGGGGTAATGCAGAAAGACAGACATCACGATGCTGGAGGCTGTGCTGTGCTTACCGGGATCCCTAGGGCTTTAAGAATGTTCATCTTGCACATGGGACAGGTGCGGTGGTCTAGGAGCCAGGGGTCAACACAGGACTTGTGGAAAAGATGCCTGCAATGAGAACCATACATCTTAGAGCGGCGGCAACTGCAGAGACTCCCTAGTCCACTACCGCCCAGACACTCGTCCAAGGTCACGGGGCTGCTCAGGGGCAGAGCCAAGACTTGAACTTCCGTCTCCTGACACCTGGGCCCATGTGCTTCCTGTTATCCCCTGAGGCGATGCCGTGGAAACTTGTCTGGACCCCGGGAGGGGCCTTACATGAGTCCAAGTTTCAGAAAATGTAGAAGATGTAGACACAGAGCTTTTCCTCTTTCTCAGCAGGAAGAATGTTTACTGGAAGGAATACCAGGAGGGAACCTCGCACAGGCCTTTCGGGATAACTGGATGGATGTTACATCTGCATAATGCCAGAGTTTCTTTTCTCACAGTTAGAGGACAGCTGCAAAATAAAGGCTCATTTCCATCACTATCTGGGGTCTAACAGAAAGGGCAGAAGAGTTCCCGAAGCACTGAACAAGGCGGATGACCTTTGAAGTTGTCATGGCTGCTGGTTGTCAAACCAGAAGCCAGGGTGAAAGGTGCTGTAACCTTTACTGTCTGTACAGCTGATACGCTCAACTCCGCTGCCGCCCCCCTGGGCCAGTCCCGGAGCTCTCGTCTGCATGGCAGGTAAGGGGTCCTTTGATAGATGTGGGAGGGCTCCTAATGGAACTTCCTTTCAACTCGGCTCTCAGGGGCCCACTCAGACGTATGGAAAGACTATTGGAGTCAGAAGCTCGTCTTCTCACCCACAAGATCCCAGACCAGGGGCAGAGGCAGTCAGAGATTCCTGTCTGGGGCACGAAGAGAGATAATGGCCTTTCTTAAGGGTGGGGGCTTCTTCAGGACAGTCCCTCCCTGCCTGGCCCTCTCTCCTTGGTGGTGTTCAGTACCCGGGGGCCTTGCGCTTTCTCCTCTCACTCCCTCTTCTCTCCCCCTAACAGTTCTCAAAATGTTCTTTGTGTGAGGGTGCATTTTTCCAAATGCTTGAAAAAGACCCCCCCAAATCGGAGATGAGTGCAGGAAGGGGCTGCCTTTTAAGTTGAACCTGGGAAGTGCCCGTGTGCCAAGGATGGGATTAGCCCTATACAGGGTATGATCAGACTGGCAATTAGAAAAAGGGAGAGCGGCAGTCTGGATGTGTCATTGTGTTTGCAGATTACTGTTTGGGATGCCCTGCAGGCTGGAAGGTATGTATTGCACGCCATTATTCCCTCACCCACGCTTTGTCCAACTAGGAGCGTCTGCCAAGAATTGCACTCATCATCGGGAGTCGCCAGGATAGAGATTTGGCTCCTTGCCTTAGCTAGTATGACAGGAGAGGCAGGCATTAATGAAATAATAATATGTATAAGCTACTTAATGACAATGGTGCTAAGTACCACATTAGAAGGGCAGGGAGCTGGGAGGATTAGGAGGAGGAGAGTTTCTTGATGAAGTACCAAAGAGAAGACCTGAGGGCTGCCCAGACATTGTCCTCAGGAAGGGGAGGGAAGGGGAAGGAGGGTGTCCTAGGCAGAGCCCCAGCCAGACAAAAGCCCTGCGCCGGGCACTGGAAGAAGTGCAGTGAGTGTGGAGCTGAGACTGCTTACAGATAGAGGCTGCACCTTGGGCACCATCGTCCCCAGCAATTCCTCCCTCCCTGGGTTCAGGCTCCACACTCAGGAAACACCCTGAACTTGCCCACCACCTGGTGATCCTCCTGGGAACACAGTCACACAGTCTGGTCCCTCTGACCGTGCCGGGCAGCAGGCTCTGCCGTGTCTCCTGAACGTGTGCTGGACTGAGGAGAGGGCAGGGCTCATCATTAGCTGTTGGAGCTTAAAGAAGCCATTCAGTATCTCCAGGTTCTTTTGCTTCACCTGTAAGATACACAGCTCCCTACTTGCATGGAGAAGACTTCCCTGAGTGTCCATTCCACAGAAGTCAGTCTTCATTCTCTAACGCCCTGACTGATTTCTCTCCACACGTGGGTCTTTCTTACCTCTTCTGTGGTGGTTTGTGTTAGTTTTATGTGTCAGCTGGGCCAGGCTCTTCCGCCAAAACGAATCTAGGGTGTTCTGTAGATGTGATTGACTTTAAGTAAAGGAGATTACCCCAAATAATGTAGATGGGCCTATTCTAATCAGTTAAAAGGTTTTAAGAGCAAAAGCTTTTTAGAGAAGACGTTCTGCCTCCAGGAGGCAGCATTAGCTCCTGCTCAGAGTTCCCGGCTGCAGGCCTGCCCTGCAGACTGCAGACTTGCCAGCCCCTACAATGAGGGAAGCCAGTTCCTTGGAAACACGTGGTGTTACGTAGCGGTTCTCTGGAGAACCTGACCATGCTCCAACGAGAATATAAGCTCAGTGAGAACACGACCCTTGTTTGCCTGATTCACTGTTGTACCCTAGCATCTAGAATAGTTCTTGGCACACAGATGATGCTCAAGAAATATCTGCTCTGTAGACGGATATTCACCAAGGGCCCCAGCACTCCTTGCTGCCTGCACTTGGTCCTTGAGGCCCACGGACCCGCTCTTCCTCCATGTCTTTCGTGGTCACCGCCTCTCCTTCCCCAGGGCTGCTGCCTCATTCATAATCTCAATGTCTTTTTTTTTTGGTGTTATTCCAGTGACATCCACACTGGTCTCCATGCCAGCAGTCTCGCCCTCTTCTCGTGCTCCCACTCTTCCCTGCCAGAGGTATCTTCTTAAAATAAAGTATGAGTTACATCAGCCCCTGTTCCATTCTGTTCTGGGCTGGGAGCTGGGTACGAAGATGAGTAAGACCAGCCCCCTCCTTTCCAGACAGAGGCACAGCCCTTCAGTGGCTCCCTGGAAACCGAAATGCAAAGGCCGTGGAAAGGCCACACTCCTGGACCCGTTTTCTAGTGTTGAAAACGAGTCACTGGAAATTTTTAAAAAATCAAAGAGAGAACTAAGGACCAAAAAAAAAAAAAAAAAAAAGTGCTGAAATGACGCCTAGAGCAATCACATGGATTATTAACGAACATTTCTAGCACCGTCTTTCTCACACTAACCATCACACACAGACTGTATCCTTACAACTGGATTGCAGAACAAGTTTTCCCTTCCAAATAGAAAGAAAAATAAAAGTCACTGGACTAAATAAATAAGCAATGGAATAAGGAAAGAATGTGGAATTTAGGGAAAGGCACCCATAGTTTAGTAAACATCTCCGAGGCAAAGTCCATCTCAACCCTTCCTTTCTGTACGGTTCTCAGTGGAGCGTGGGCCTTCCCTGCGTGTTAACGAAGGCCGGGCAGCCACGAAGTGCAGTCAGAGGAACAGAAGGAGGAGATTCTCTGTCTCTTAACGATCCTGACAAGGGGTTCACCAAACTTTCCTCGTTCCTCACTCACCAAAGGGCAGCCAGCATTTAGAAAGGATGCCAACGGCTGCATGATGGTTCCAAGAGGATCATGAATAATAAAATAAGCCCTCACATTTTTAGCAGCGCTGAAAACCCAGCTCTGCCCATTTCCCTATCTACTTATTCCTGTTTTCTGTTGACCTTTTACCTTATGTGTGAATCCCACCTCCGCTAAATGATATATGTTTCCCTCACCTGCAGGAGGAAGGGCTATTTTGGCCTGTGCATTTCTTTCCCGTTTGCAGGCTATCAGGACTCGCCACCTGCCATCGAGAGTAGGGTCCCCCGGCTTTCCTTTCGGCTCCAGTGCAAGCTGCTTCGCTCCCCTCCGTGACATGGTCACCCAAGACTCTGAGTCACGGGGACTTAAGCACGCCATTCTCCCAGACACCGTCAGCTACGTGAACAGCACACCCAGCGTGTCCGTGGGGAGTTGAAATGTTCCTTCGGAGCCTCAGAATCTTAGTTGTGCAGTTGTCAATGAAATAAGAGTGAGTTTTAAATATTAATTTAACTTAATTAATAAACAATACCTACTGGTTACCAAATGCCTACTACGTTCCAGGTATGTAACATACATTATTAATGCACAACGGCCCTCCGAGGTAAAATTATTCTTCCCATTTTATGGAGTGGGAAGCTGACGCCTATTAAAGTGGCTTCAGTTACCCCAAGAGCCCATAAGCTGCAGAGCCAGGACCCGACCTGGCCTTCGCCCAGGACTGCCCTCGCTGTTCTGCTCAGCTCCACTCCACTGCCCACCTCCCCAATAAACTGTTGTGGGCAGGTGTGGGGGAGTTGGAGAAATTAAAAATGTTCTTCTTTCCAAAAGTACTTTTGTGTTCCAGCTTCAAGGAGGCGGTATCTTAGTTACAGAGGCTGAGGATCTGGCACAAGCGAAGGGAAAAGTGAGAGGCCTCGTCAGGCCTCCCCTCGGACCACAGTCCACCCGACTGATGGTGAACGGGGAACCTCCCAGGCTCTGCCCTCCCCATTCTCCACACCCAGTGCACCTGGAAAACAAGGCGCAGGCAGCCCCGGCACCTCTCCTCTAAATTCTCAAACGTGGATCATGAAATGCCCTGGAAAGCAATACCCACTTTTTTGCCGGTGATCTTCTTGACCTGGCCTGGCTCCTCTGTCTTGCCTTAGCTCTCTAAACTACAAGTGGGGTGTTACTCCCCAGACGCAAGACACTTCAGCTGCCTCCCCTGGCTAGAGCACCAAGCCAGCCTGGGCGCAGTCCTCAAAGACGCACCCCTATCTGACCTTGTCGTGTCTGCTAGGCCCCTGTTCACCCCACACTCGCATCAGAATGCTGGAACGCCCTCCTCATACTTTTGTCCGTGTTTCAGGGGTGGCAAACCTTGCTCGTATGTCACGTCACAACTCAGACGTCCCTTCTCTCCCTGATGGTCCCACCTCCTCTCCAAACTACCAAGCACAAGCCATTGCTTTTCCTTTCCTCCCAGTTGTTCCTCTGAATTTGTCACAGCAGCCGGGTATGTGCTCTGGTTTCTAGGGTTCGAAGACCAGGCCTTAGCTCCATGACCTTGGATATTCTATGACAGTGTTCTCTAATTGTCACCACGACTCTTCAAAGTATCACTGTTGTCAGGGATAACCTTTTAGAGGACT